AAACACTGATTGGAGTGAAACATTATTTTAAAGTCGATTTATCACTCCAGTGCACTCTAATTGGAGTGAAAAATTATTTTGGACTCTATATTTCACTTAAGTTTACTCCAATTGGAGGGAAAAATTCTTTTTAAATCGGTTTTTTACTCCGGAATACTCTAAATAGAGTGAAAACTTTATTTGGAGTCTATTATTTACTTTACTGTACTCTAATTGGGGTCAAAAATGGTTTTGGAGTCTATATTTAACTCTACTTTACTCCTATTAGAGAGAAAAATTCTTCTTTAATCGACTTTTTACTCCGGAATACTCTAAATAGAGTGAAAACTTTTATTAGAGTCTATTTTTCACTCCACTTTAGTCTAATTGGAGTGAAAAAAAATTTTCGAGTCAATATTTCATTCCAGAGTATTTTAATGGGAGTGAAAAATTCTTTTGGAGTTGATTTGTCACTATTGTATTCTGATTGGCGTGAAATATGATTTTGGTGGCATTTTTTTACTTGAGTTTATTTTAATTAGAGTGAAATATTATTTAATAGTTGATTTTACACTCCAGTATACTACAATTGGAGTGAAAAAATATCATGAAATCAATTTTTAACTCTAGTGTACCCTCATTGGAGTTGAAAAATCCTTATGGAGTCTATTTTACACTTCAGTTTATTCCAATTGGAGTTAATAATTATTGTAGAGTTGGTATTTCACTCCAAGGTTGTTAAATTGGAGTGATAACTTATTTTGGGGTTCATTTATCATTATTGTACCATGATTGGAGTGAAATAGGATTTCTCAGTTAATTTTTTACTCAAGTTTATTTCAATTGGAGTGAAATATTATTAAATACTTTATTTTTCACTCCACTGTATTACAATTGGAGTTAAAAAATTATGTTTGTGTCGATTTTTTACTCGATTTCACTCCAGTTAAAGCAGAAAATAAATAAAAATAATAAAGAATAATTTATTAAATAAAACAAAAATGTTTAAAATCTTTTTCTAAATGTAAATTTTTTTTAATTTACAACAAATATTAATGATAAAAAAAAATAGTAAATCCTATTTTTTTCGTTCTGAAACGAACGTTTGCCACAAATAAAAATAAGTTTTAAAATCAAATATTTATAAAAAAAAATATTAATTTTTTTACACAACAATAAAATGAAATTCTCTTTAATAATTAAGTTTTTAGATATCAAATCCTTGAGAATCGATATATGTATTGTAAAACTGGACTCATAAAGAAAAGTTGTTCATATTCTTTTTTTTATGACGCCTTAAGTGAGAAGAGTAAAAAAAAATATTACACCAGAAAGTCTACAAAGAAAAAAGACCTTTAATATTCTATAAAACTTAAAGGGAAAAGAAATTTACGATTTCAATTTCTTTTTTCTCTTTTTTTTGCTACAAGAGATATATGTATATTAGCATATATAGGTATATATATAGAAATGTACTTCAGTTATTGACATGAATAATGTACAATTAACTCAGTGGCCGAAAATGTAATTTTCGAAATCCGGATAATTGTTTGCATAATAGGAAGCATCAGATTTTGTAAAAGCGTTCAGTAAACCATCATTGTGAGTTATAGGGTTCAATTAATGCTAAATAAATCTATTATCCCTATAGGCATAAATGAAAATTGACGAAAGCAACACATGCTTTTTATATATATATATATATGTATATGGAAAATAGCTCATACTAAAAATATCCATCGTGTAAATATTAAATAAAATTAATTAAATAATAAAAATTTCATTTCCAATTAAATTTTCCCTCCAATCATATCCTGTAATTAAAAAATCATCGTTGAAAATATAAAAAAAATAATTCTTTTTTTCATCTTTTAATTTTACAATTTAATTTTTAACAATTTGTCTTAAAAAGTAAAAAAAAAATATTATTTATCCTCTTTTCTAATAGAATATAAAGAGAGAAAGAGTAATGAATTTTTAATCGAAATATATGTTTCGATAATGTTGGTTTCCAGTTCGTTTATTATTATCGTATTAAAAGGGTATTTAAATTTAGTATTGTTAGCCATAAAAGCTATAAAATTCGTAAAACAGAGAGTGCTTGCAACTGAAGTGTGTTTAGTGTTTTAGCTCTTTACAAAATATATATATATATATATGAAAGAATAAATTATTATATTCACATATCAACAGATTGTTTTATCAATGGAGATATTATAGCATTAAAATTTTTTTTATCAATAAATTCTGTATATGAGTGTATAATTGTTGTATATGAATTCTCTCCCAAAATTCGTATATATCTATATATTGATTTTAAAACAAATCACATTAACAACATTTTCATTTTAAAAGCATAAATACAAAACGTTTTAAAACGAACAAAAAAAAAAAAAATTAAAAATTAAAATACCTATCAGAGTGAAAATTTTGCTCTTAAATATTTTATATGAAAATTTTATCTCATTAATTTCATTATTTAATATTTCATCACTATTTTAATTTACATATACGCGCGCCTCACCCATTCTTTATCATCTGTTGATGCAAATATAGTGAAAACTTATCCACAGGTGGGTTTTAAATAACCCACCCGAAAATTGTTAATTTCGATCACGCAATAGTCCTTGTCAATATAAATACATTGAAAACACAAAAAAAATCCAAAAATAGAATTTCATTTTTAATTTTGAAAACCTTTTTTTGGGGATAAAAAAGATTTTTTTTTTTAAATTAACTCCTACTTCAGGATTATTGCTCCAAATATTAAATTTCTAGTTAGTTCTTTCTAAGTTCTACTTAGAAAGAAACTAGTCAGACCCACTTGGAAAGATTCTCCGAAAAATGCCTCCTGGAGGTTCTATCAGAATTCCGCCGGAACTTCCGTCGGAATTCCATCGGAGTTCCAAAGAATTTCCGATGGGATTCTGACGGAATTCCGACGGAATTAAGACTCTAAAAATTTTGAAAAAAATTAATCACAATTCCTTCGGAATCCCATCGAAAATTCTTTGCAACTCCGATGGAATTCCGACGGAATTACGTTGAAAGTTCCGGCGAAAGTCTGATAGAACCCCCAGGGGGCACTTTCCTGGGAATCTTTCCAAGTGGGGAGTCTTGTCAGTTTTCCTATAAACTACCCCGAATATAAAAAATTTTTTTAAAATACTAAAATACCAAAAAAAACTGGTCAGAGCCTTGTCAGATTACCTATAAATTACCCTAAATATAAAAAAAAAATATTAAAATACTAGTATACAAAAATATAAAACTAGCGCGGTCCTAATCAGAGCCCTATTTTAAATCTAATAAACGCCCTATTTGGCATATTATTTTAAACAATTCTTATACTTCTTATAATTATAAAAACTTAGTTTACTTTTTCTAAACTAGGAAAACTGGCTAGGACCTAGTCAACGCCCTATTTTAAATGTGGACAATTAAATTTTAGCAATTTTTATGCAAAATATGATTATAATTATCTAGTTTATTATATTCTAAACTAGGAAAACTGTCTAAGTCCTAGACAAAGCCCCATATCAAATATGACAAATTGTATTTTAACAATTTTATACAAAACATAAATATGAAAACCTAGTTTATTTTTCCAAACTAGGAAAACTGGCTAGGACCTAGCCAAAGCTTTATTTTAAATATGAACAATTAAATTTTAACAATTTTTATGCAAAATATGATTATAATTATCTAGTTTATTATTCTAAACTAGGAAAACTGTCTAAGTCCTAGCCAAAGCCCCATATCAAATATGACAAATTGTATTTTAACAATTTTTATACAAAACATAAATATGAAAACCTAGTTTATTTTTCTAAACTAGGAAAACTGGCTAGATCCTGACTAAAGATCAATTCTAAATACAGAAAATTGTACTGTAACAATTTTTTTACAAAATTATATTATATATAATTATTATATATATAATATGTTATATTTTAACAATTTTTATGTAAAAAATAATTATAAAAACCTAATTTATTTTACCAAACTAGAAAAACTGACTAGATCCAGATCCAAGCCACCATATTCCAAATACATCAAATTGGATTTTAACCATTTTTATACAAAAGATAATTATAAAAACCTAATTCATTTTGCCAAACAGGAAAACTGGCTAGAGCCTAGTCAAAGTTCTATTTTAAATATAACCAATTAAATTTTAACCATTTTTATACAAAATAATTATAAGTCATACTAAATTATATAATTCTAAATTGTATTGTTAAATAGGAAAACTGGCTAGTTCTTGCCAAAGCCTAGTTTATTTTTTCAAATTAGGATAACTTGCTAGATCCTGTTTAAAGCCTAATTTCAAATTCGGAAAATTGGATTTCAAAAATATGTATGCAAAAGATAATTGTAAAAACCTAATTCATTGTTTCAAACTAGAAAAACTGACTAAAAAATTACCAACGCCTAATTTTTAAAATATATGACAAATTTGATCACTTTTCTAACCCTTGGAAAACACACTGGGTGAATTTGACCCACAATAAAATTTCAGAACCTAGAAATTTGTTAGATAAATTTAAAATGTAGGTGGTACATTATTCTCTGTTGTACCTAGTTTACTTTTTCAAACTAGGAAAACTGGCCAGGTTCTAGCCAAAGCCCTATTTGAAATATGGCAAATTTTATCAATTACTACATGGTAAATTTTAAGTTTTGCACTAGTACAATAACTACTTTAACCCTCGGAGAACACACTGGGTCAATTGGACCCACAAAAAATTGTTGTCCGAAAAATTAGATAAATTTAAAAAGTGAATGGTCTTCAGTTCTAAAATGTAAAGGATATTTTAGATACCAATCGATCCGGTCATTTCGGAATAATAGAGAATTAAATAAATTAGTGGGTCTGATAGACCCAGTGTGTTGTCTGCAAAAAAATATATCAAAAAGTAAATTAAATCAAGAACATAACCATTAAAATATGAAATCATAAGCGTAATAATATTCTCAGAACATATATATATATATGCATGATTAATTGTACAACTCACCCTTAGCACTGGATCTGATGCCTTTTCCAGATGAAGCAGGTGCAACAACGTCAGCAACAATCTGCCTTCCATTATGTACATAAGGTTGATGAGACAAGCCATGGTGTGGGTTGCGGTGCACTCCGAGGATGTAGGGTTCGGTCTGTGGCTCCCTGAACATTGTAGGTGAAGACCTCGAGTACACTGAACGTCCACTGAGAATAGACGAGCTTGGCGATGTTGATGGACTTCGAACTCTTGAAGTGGTCGTCAAATTGAGTGGTCGATCGTCATTCATATCGTCAAGATGATGAATTCCCGATGATGATGATGTTGTTGTTGTTGTTGTATCGGTGGCATTTGCCAATTGAAAAGCATTAACATTTTGTCTTGATAATTGTTCGGTGCACTGTAATTTTGGAGATGATATCATTCCAATGCTTGCTATTGAAGAGGGTGACATGAGTGGTGAAGCAGGACTCGGTGTACATGGGGGTGACGTCAAACTACCTTGTATTGAAGCTGGCGAATGTGCTGGCAAGGGCGAATAAATAGGCAGTGGAGCACGAATTAAAGGACTTCCGGTGAATCTCCTGGGGGTTGGAGCCAGTAGCTTAGTTGTGCCCATCCCTAAGGAGATATGCCCTTTGGTAGTTGAACCCAATGAGGGTCTACAACTCCAACCTAGAATATCACTGATCCTATGGGGTGTTGGGGTTCGAGGCGGTGTTGCGTACACGTGATCGTGCCAAGAACTAATTCTAATGTTGTCCACTGAGCCGTCCGTTAATTCGCACCTTATTCTTTCGTTGTTCAAAAATGTTGGACTTGATTTTGTTTCATTATTGTTGTCACAGGAAATTATTGTCTCTTGGGGTGAACTGGGATCATCATCATTTGTCTTACGCTTATCGGTTTCTGCCATTTTTCGAACAATAACAAAGAGGACATTTGATCTATGTGCGACTTGATATTATTGTCTACATGGTTTGTGAAATCTTTGGTTAATGGATTTGGGTTTAAGTGGCTCTCGATCGGTTAACTTTATCAGATCGAACACACATTCGAAACGCTTGCGCGTTTAATGGCTTACACGATTAATTCAACTGAGACGACTTATCGACGGCTCGATTATCGTATATACCAAAACCCGGCTCTGCTCGCTATTGATTTAATCTGCTCTTACTGCGGTAATTTAATTTCATTGATAAGCCATTCTAAGCGACGCGCCTATGAATTTCTCGGGAATATCGAGGGATGAAGTTCCCCTCGTAAGTTCGCTTTTTAAGGGGTCTTCGTGGGTCCATTCCCAGGAGGCCAACCGCGACACTGAATCTGCTGGGCTTAATTAAATCTCGCAGTGGAAAACGGGGGGGTGCACACTGTAATAACGCTGAATATCAAGAACAAAGGTCTGCCAAGTACTCAAAACTGAACTTGTTTGTCGAACCACTTTAGATCGATCAATCGTAATTCTCCTCTCTCACTCACTCATGTTCTTTATTTGCATAATTTTTGTTAAATTTTCTAATCATTTTTTCTTATCCCATTGCGGTGGAACGTCACCGACTTTCCTTGTCAACAGGTGTCACTAACAACACTTTCGGGTTTCAAGTCCATTTCTGAACACACTACACTTTGCACTCATTTTTCTTTTTTTTTTGTTAATCCTCTTTTCGAGTTCACACATGACCTTTTAACACAATACACAAGTACATTTCACGACTGCTATTAATCTTAAAACCCAGTGAAAAGATCTTTTCAAGATCTGTTTTGTCACATTCCCCTAAATATTTCGAAAGCATTTTTCTTTTATCTATTGTTGCGAATCACTCATGTTGAATTACAAACACTTCTTTTGTTTGCATATACGAATCTGCATTATCATTAATGTCTGTTTAGAAGAATCAACTATTTTTGTTACAAAAGAAACTAAATTAGATTTCACGTAATTAATTACTAAATTCTGCTAAATATTTTCCCTCTTTCCCCTCTAAGAAATACTTCAGAAAATTAACTAAATACTTTTAAATATACTAAAATGCTGAATAAATTCTGTTTTGCTTTTTTTCAGTCCCTATTACTGTATCAATATCAGAATTTGCTAGAATATTAAATCCCAATGGGTTTTTAGGACCTGTTGAAAATACCAGGTTCAATATTGACCGGAAATTGAAGTTACAAAAAAAAAACCCAATTGAAAGGTCGAGTTTTTTTATTTTCTAGCAGAACTTTTTATTTCTTCCTGTATAGATTCGATATTTATGATAAATTCCGTTGAATTAATATTATATTAGAAATATATTGAAACAACTGAATATAAATTAATTGAGAATTTTGAAATTGTAACAATTTTAGATAAATCGGAGTCATCAGTTAATATGAAGCACTTCTGTCCTTGACATTATATGAGAAACTGCGTATATGCTGAGCTAGATTTTGAATGTATCCTGGACTAGAGTCTTAATAAATTCTGAAGTAGAATCTGAATATCTCCGAAATTGGATTTTATCCGAAACTAGAAAGATCAGAAATTAGAAAGATCTGAAACCAAAAAGATTTAAAACTAGAATGTAGTCGAAATTTTAATATAGCCAAAACTAGAAGGATCGGAAATTTTAACATATCCGAAATTAGCAAGATCTAAAACTAGAAAGATCGAAAAGTAGAATTTATCCGAAACTAGAAAGACCCGAAATTGAAAAAATTTGTAACTGGAAAGATCGGAAACTAGAATATATCCGATTCTACAATATTCCCGAAACTAGAAAGACCCGAAATTGGAAAGATCCGGAACTCGATCGATAAGTAGAACATATCCAAAATTAGAGAAATCGGAATCTAGAATATATACGAAACTGGAAAGTTCCGAAATTGGAGAGAACCGAAACTGGAAAGATCCAAAACTAAAAAGAACCGAAACTAGAATATATCCGATTCTGGATTATATTCGAAACTGAAAAGATTCAAAACTAGAAAAATCCTAAATTGGAAAGAACCCAAACTAGAATATATCCGATTCTGGAATATATCCGAAGCTCAAAAGACCCGAAATTGAAAAGATCCGAAACTGGATCGGTAACTAGAATATATCCGAAATTAGAGAGATCGGAAATTAGAATATATCAGAAACTAAAAAGTTCCGAAATTGGAGAGAACCGAAACTGAAAAGATCCAAAACTAGAAAGAAACTACAAAATATCGGAAACTAGAATATATCCGATTCTGGAATATGTCCAAAACTAGAAAGATTCGAAACTAAAATATATACAAAACTAGAAAGATCTGATTTTGGAATATATCCGAAACCGGATACCCCCAAAATCAGAACATATTCGAAACTAGAACATATCTGAAACTGGAATATATTCGAAACTACTAGAGATCGTAATTTAATATATTCAATTCTGAATTATATCCGAAACTACAAAAATTCAAAACTAGAAAGATTGGAAACCAGAACATATCCGAAACTGAAAAATACCCGAAACTAAAACATATCCGATACTAAATCCAGGACTTCCAAAGTACCTCAATACCGATGTGTTTTAATCACACCTGACCTTGAACAATATTTCCTCCATACTTAAATATCACTTCACAGAAGCACATTCCTAATCGTGGTTTATGACGCTCTCTTTCTCTTTCTCTCTCTCCCTTTCATCAAAAGTGAGCCTCAGCAGTGAACATAATTGTCAATGATTAGGTCATCCGCGACACAAGCCGGCGGAACCACGTGCGCACGCGAAACGCTACTTGATTGGAGGGAGGGGTGAGGGCTTGATTGAGGGGGAAATGTCGAGAGAAGGAAACCGGTAGAAAAAAAGTAGCAACAGCAGCAGCACGTGTCTCTCGTGGACAGTTAACTATATACGTGTGTAGGTGGTAGGGGGTTAACTCTCTCTCACTCCAAAATACTTTTTCAAAAAAAAAAAAAAACCAAAAATAAAACCAAATTGCAGGATGGATAGAGAAAGAGAGAGAGATAAAAAGGAAAGACGCACGGGCGCCTCCTAAACCGAGCCCGTTGACGCCCGATTACTGACTGATTGTCGCGAGATTTAGGGTACACGGACGAACGAGCGGGTGGTGGTAATGGCGGGTTGACGGTACTAAAGAGAGGGGATGGAGGGGGGAGGGGAAACGATGGCGGTAGCAGTAGCAAAGCACAGCATCGTTTTGAAATGCGGGGGTGGGAAAAAGGGGGAGAATTGCCGCGGGTATTGCGGGCGCAACTGCGAATAAGGGTTTAGCAAAGCATTTGGGGGGGAAAACGGGGTAAAGGGGAGGGGGGGGAGCTGAACGAGGGGTAAAATCGCAAGGGGGTGAGGAGTTAACGGCCGGCGCGCGTTCTCCTACTCTTGCTAACTGCTCGCGCGTACTCTGAATGTGAGAGTGTACTACCACCAGTATTATTGATGCTTCTGTTTCCATTACTACCACCATAGATGACGATGCCACACAACTAAATACTACCATCATCATAGTTGTTGTGATCTGCTGCTACTGCTACTACCACCATCGTTATATTTACGTAGTTCTGCTGCCACTAACACTGCTACTGCGGGGGTTGGAGGAAGAGGAGGAGGAAGAGTGTATATATATAGTGGAATGGGGTGGCCCGACGAATGCCGCTGGACGGCTGGCAACGATTTATTATTGAAAGCTATTTACTGAGAACGAGAGAGCATTTGCCGTTTATTGCTATTTACCGTTTATCATCCATCGTTGCTGCTGCTGCTGCTTCTGTTGTTGTTGTTGTTGTTTTCGAATTTACCGACATTGAAACTATACCATCAGACCACAATCATCATGATGGCTTTACGAAGCCCAATTACTGATGTCTATGTACTGTTCCAATCAATTTGGAAGGAGATGTCTATTACGATTTTGTGGCTTATGCGGGATGTCTTCAAGGGGTTTGGGTTGGATTATTATAAGGGGCTTCAGAAATGATCATTTGGGAATGGTAAATTTCTCTTCAATTCTGCTGAAAGGATTAATTTGTCGTTCGTAATTTTGGGTTAAAAAGAACAAAAAATAGTTTCGTTTATGATGCACGGAGAAAAATGAATCTGAAAATAAAATTTTGCTATACCAATTTGCAGTTGTGCTATTTGTTGCTACTGCAAATTTTTAGATGTTACAACGAAATTTTACAGTTTCTTACAAAATATTTCGTTGGTATTGTTGTACCAATAAATGTATTTTTTTGTATATTATTAAAGAATTTGTTACTACAATAATAGAAATTTGTTGTAGCGACCAAACAAAATTTTGTTTAGGTCTGGTAAAATTTTGGGTAAGGAATTTATTACTACAGAAATACAGATTTTTTGTAAAACAAAATTTGTTTAGGTTTACTAAAATTTTGGGTAAGGAATTTGTTACAGATACAGATTTTTCGTAGCAACCAAATAAAATTTGTTTAGGTTTAGTAAAATTTTGGTTAACGATTTCGTTTTACAATACCGGTTTGTTGTGGCGACAAAACTAAAATTTTTTTTAGTTCCTAGTTTAGAAAATTTTTGCCTTACTAAAGAATTTGTTACTATAATACAGATTTGTTGTTGCGACCAAACAAAATTTTGTTAGTTCCAGGTTTAGTAAATTTTTAACTAGCAGATTTGAGCCAATATTTATTCTATGGAAAAATGTTTTGTTAAATTTTTTTTGGGGAAATTTTTTTACCTTTACACGCGAAAGAAAATAGAAAACAAAAATTACAGTAATTTTTACTACTTCGAAAGTAAATTCTAAGCCAAGAATTTCTGCGTACTTCTGACAACTTTTTGCTTTGGAATTAGGGCAAAAAAAATACTATTTCCAAAGTAAATTTTACTATTCCAGGAGTAAACTTTACTATTTCGGGAGTAATTTTTTTTTATTTCCGAAGCAAAAATTTCTATTTTTATTTTCTAAAATCACAATTATGTTATTCCAAATTAACTTCAGCTAAATTTAACTCTATTTTGATGAGAATTTCACTGATTCAGATATTCAGAGAATTGATTTTGACTACATATATATATATTTGCGAGGGAGAATGTTTCAATTGGTCTGACAGTGAGTGTCTATTACTACTTAAGTGCTATATCAAATTTCATTCTTTTCAATGCGAAATTTTCCAACCTTTTTTTTTTTTTTTTTTTTATTTTTTTTATTAATGTTCATTTATTTCATTAATCTTTAGCGACGAAAAAAATTGCTTTCTTTTACCGAAAAAAAAAGAATAGAATGGAATTGTTACATTTAGAAAAAAGGTTTGTGTAATTTTCTATATAGCTCCGTTAGAAGATTAATAAACGTGTGTTGGTGAATATTAGGGGGAGTTTGTCGATGGATTATTTCAATCAATCAGAAAAGAGGGTGCTACATTACAGTTTCCAATCGATGTAGATAAAACTTAGTCGACGAGAAACATAAATTGTATAATATGTCTAATATATATAAAGATCATTTTTAATCGGATCAAAAAATAATTTTTGTAAATAATTTATTTATTGTTTTTATGAAAAATAATTTGTATAAATAATTTCTATACTATTTTTATGTAAAATATAATTTATACAAATAATTTTTATATTATTTTTATGAAAAATAATTTTTATAAATAAATTTATTTATTTCTACAAAAAATAATACTGTATAAATAATTTATTTATCATAATATATAAATTATTTTTTATAAAAATAATTATTTTTATTACTATATAAATTATTTTTTATAAAAATAATTATATGTTTATTAATAAATAATTTACTTTTTATCAACATTAATAACAGAAACAGTGAAATATTTCCAAAATTTCTTATTTATTTAATTAACTGGATATTTAATTTAATTCAATTTGAAGATTCCGTGAACAGATTTATTCTACAAGTATATATAGCAAAAGCTACTTCACTTGTTATCTGATATTTTAACCCTTAGCGTAACTTTAGATGGTATGTATATGAAGTGTAGTCCTTAGGGATCTCTCATTACATTTGTAAAACATTCCACAGTACAATTTCCTTATTCACAAGAGCGCAAAGATTCCTCAAAAAAAAAAAAAAAAAATTTACAACACTATTTAGTTTTTAAACAATAAATGATTATTATAAATAAATTAAAAAAATTAAACCAATTTTTTTTTAATAAAAAAAAAGAATTTCTTAAAATACATATATATTAATTTTATGAAAACCACGAGATAATTTACAGTCGTTTATTAAATTTTAATTTATTGGAATATAAATTACAGATAAATATATAATCAAAATGATTACATTATTGCATGACTATTTTCTCATAATTAGTAATTATTAATTCTTGCTGATAATTTTCATATAAAATCAAGAACGAAGTTTCCAACTAAAATGAATAACCCAATTAAATTTATATGTATATATATATATATATATTTATTGGAAAAACGTGTATACATATATAGATATATATAGCTATGGAATTATTGGATAATAATGTGACAACGCGTTAATTGTAATCGGAGGGTATATATTATTTCTTTTTTGTATTTTTATATAATTTATGTAATTACTTTTTCATTTATTACTTACAGTTGAAATAATAAAATTAGAAAATATTTATAAGCGCTTTTTAGAATCTTTTCAAATATATAAATGACACTCTTTTTTTTATTATTTTTATTAATTGTTTAAATAATTTTAAAATAAAATACGAATTTTATTATTTATTTTTTGTCAGTAAATAATTAATATAATATTAATTTATAAACCTTGATATTTTAATATTGATATATTAATATTGATATTTTAATAATTATATTAATATTATTATATTAATATATTAGTATTAATATATTAGTACATTAATATTAATTAATTTAAATATCAATGAAATTTATTTGTGAAAATATTAGTGTTTGAATGAAAATTATTTTTATTATTTCTAATATTTTTTCTAATTATTCCAATAATTAAATATAAATATTTCGTTTATTTTTAGTATTATTATTATTATATTTGTAATAATAAATATTACTTATTTAATATTTGATAAACGAAATATTTAATTTAATAAAAAAATGTGCGCAATGGAAATTTCAAATAATTGACTAAGTGCTGACATCTTTTATAAAGTATAGACACTTTTTAGACAAATAACTCTTTGAGTAACAGTAGGATAAAGTCGTTAATATCAATTGTTTATTTACCATTTCTCATATGATAAGAAGAATTCTTTATTTGTTTATCATTTTTAAAAATTTTTTAAATTTACTCAATAAAAAACGAAATTAAACCTCATTTTTTAATTTTGCAGATAAAAAATGAAATTAATTATTTTCTCGCTATTTTGAATTAATTTAAATTATTTTACATTTTATAAAATGCATATAATAAATATATCTATATAACGTCCCATCAGCCTTATTATATAATTCTAACTAAAATTACAATTTAAAAAAAAAAATTTTCAAATAAAATTTTTTCACAGAAATATATGCAATTTTTTTTCCTGTAATTTCTAAACCACAAGAATGTGATTTTATAAATATATATATGCAAATTAACCACAAATTGTAAAAGTTAAAAATAAAACTTTAAAGAAAAACTGTATATATATATATATAAAGTAAACGCAAAGTCATATAGCGAAAATAAAATATTTTTGTTATTTAAATTTAAAATTTTCACTTTTTAATTTTTTTAATTTTCACTTTTTTTTAAAAAATTGAAAATAAAAAAATTTTATTGTACCCTTAATTTTACATCCTTGGAATAATTTGCAATGTTAAAAATTTTTTTTTCCACTACTAAATAAAATTACAATTTAAATTAATAAAATTTATCTGTATTAATATACTTATTCGCTTTTATTTATTTTATTTATATAATAAATAAATAATATATTGTAAACATATACTGGAAAAAAATTATTTGTTTCAAATAATCGGTTATCAAATATATTTTCTTGAATCAAATAATTTTTTTTCAATTAAATATTTCTTAAATTTTTTATTTTAATTAATTAATAATTAAATATTTGGTAAATATTTTAAGTCAATTAAATATTTGTTTAAAATTTTAAAAATA